GTGTATTCACTATTTAGGGAGGAAGAGAAGGGAGCCACAGCTATGAGAGAAGGATGAAGACACAATGCTGCAGTGGCTGTTGTTGCTGAACATGGTTGGTTAAGGTCATCCTGCTTGGCTTTCACATCCAGATTTAGTGAAGCCTGAGCAGATCCATCTCCTCAGCACAAAGCCAGGCTTTTGCCTGCTGCAATGGGGTCCATATTGGAAAGGACGAAGGATTTTGCAGGAGGAAGGGAACTGTGTGGATCAGAGAACATCATTTTGGGTGAGTCCTTCAATACTTAAAAAATATTCCATATTATTTGGCATTAAGGTGTTGAGGTTAGGTGTCATTTTTGACCAATAAGATACTACTAAAATTGGCCAACTTGTCGGTTCCCTTAAAGCTCAAACTGAAGCTATCACAGATGCAAGGGAAGAATCTGCTCCTCACCTACCACAAAATGTGACTTTCACAAGTTCTTTAGAGAAGGCCACAAGTAAGCTTCAAAGACAGCAGAAACCTCTTCCTTAGTGTGTTCCTGTGACTGTTTTGGAAGCCAGCAAATGATGTAGTTAAACTTAACACATGTCTACAGACAATTCATTGCAAATGTGTAATTATCAAGGCTTGTGCAGCACAAATAAAAACAAAGTTGGGCCTGGGAAGTAGTTAATGAAATAAGTGGAAAAACAAGAGGCTATATTCTGTCATCTTACAGGAGGTTTCTCAGACTGGCTAGAACAACAGTCCCATCAGCCTGAAATGTTTCAGACTTGTGTCCCAGGAGGTACTCTCCACTCACCTGTTGAAGCTGGGCTATAGTACATCTAGAAGAAGTCCTCGATTGCAGCTAACTGGAGTTTTTCACTTCACTGACACATAAAGAAACTGCAAGAGGAAGCACCCTAGCAGTTTCACATGTTGTCTGGAAGAAGCCCTGGCTCCTCCATCTTTGCTCACCACTACTTACTTATTTTTTATATGCACAGTCATCATCTGCCACAGGAATTTTCCCAAAGTGGTTAGTACTGTGTGATGCAATCTGCATAGTGAACTCGGGTCCCCTCACCTCCCTTTCTCATGCTCTGTTTCTGCAGCTCACAACTACCCTGTTTCTATGCTGTAAGGCCAATATATGGGCATATCATGACACCTCTTCTGAGCCTGGCTGCTTATGGAGAAAAAGAGCTCTTGTTTCCATTACTTGCAGTCATTATCACACTGGAGAGGAAAATACCTCAGTCAGAAGTAACATTTTGATGAGCACATAATCAAGCAATTGAGCACATCATTCAAACAATCCTTTTATGACCTGAGTGGTCTGAGTTGGAATGCTCAACAGTCCTGAGAGCTGGATACATATCCTCTAGGCTTTCCACCAGTTACTAGCTCCTTTGCCTCAGCTGCTGAGCAGTGACAGTGCCTTTAGAGCCAGCAAGTTTCTCCACAGCTTACTGACCTGCTACATCCCTCCACTAAAGGAGGGGAACTGGGGCTCCTCATTACCCAGCTGCCATTGCTCTGGCCTGCAGATCTTGAGTCAGCCTTCAGAATTTAAATTTTCAGCCCTTTCACTGACCCCAAACTTTACAAACTTCAGGACAGAGCCAGGTAAGCATGGCTGGTGTGACCTCTTGGTCTTTTACCCCACAGCTTAATGAGGACCCCAAATTCTACTCTGTTACCCCTGCTTGCACATGCCCCTGCTTCTATCAAAATATCCCACAATAAGCAGAAGTAAAAGAGGTATTTTTGTGCACAGGAACAGCAAAGCAACCAGCTACAAGCTGTTCAGGGTATAGCAGATACAGTCCCCACTACATGCTTCTTCATGTGCCTCTCCTAGCACTGCAGGGAAGTCAGCCACCACAGTAGCATCCTTCCTTGTCCCCCATTACACATGAATAAGCTGTTTGACATTACCTGACCCTAGTTTTCCAGTTCAACCCCACACTGACAGCATTTTCTGACTCTCAAGCTCTATTTGGGCTTTTGTGCCCCAGCAGCTCCAGACGATAGTCCCAAATCCCAAGCAGAAGATGACAGTGGTGCCTACTCACCCCAAAAACTCCTACCAGCCACCTGCACCCGGACCTGCTGCTTTTCTAGCACTGAAACATGCACAGCTGTAACTACTTAGGACAAATGAGTTAAGCTCACGGAAAATGAATAGTTCCACTGTCTGGAATAAAGGTAATTAAAACAATCTTGATGAAAAATTCTCAAACGCCATTCAATGAATAAGCATATTGAAATAATGGATCCCAGGAAGAAAACCTTTACCCTCACAACACTCTGCTTCTTGACACACCTTCAGCTGGCAATGCAGGATAACAGCTCTTTGGCATGCTGAAAGGAGAAATTAAAATTTCACTTCAGAAAAGAAGAAAACTGCACTTCCAAAATAATATTCTTATCAACACCTCTTGTTTACAGGCTCTTTTACAGGCAAGACAAATCTTTCATTGTCCAGTGCAAAGGATTCATAACTTTTTTCAGTAGAGACATATCCCTTTTGTAGGCTCCTGTCCAGCTAAATTTGGATATTAGGACTGCTAGTGAGAAAGTCTTTGATGTTCAATATAGAATAGGTGAACGAACCCATGCAATTTCATTGTTCAAAATTAAAGAAGCATCTGCAAAATGAAGTTACAAGTCTCTGAAGTATATCTTGCTTTTAAGTGTGTATTATGGAAGTTAAGTGTAAAACCCTGGATTTCTCAAAATCACAGACTTAAGATAGCTTCTTAGATAGCCTAAACACTGAATATCAGTGTAGCCCTATGCAACACATTCTGAGTAGTTACAGAATACAGAAAAATTCCCACTAGAGGGTGTGCAGCCAGGTATGACTTGATTATCCACTACCCAATATTACATCGGTAAATACAAGATGCCTGTCTGGAAATCAGTCTACATAGACAAGCAATGCCATGCAGAAGCAGAAGCTCAAAGTACAGTGATAGGTTTATTTCAGGTAAATAAGGGTACCTGATGGATGACACCTAAGCTCTAGGTTATTAAGACCCAATAACAATAAGTTCCCCTGTCTGCTGGCAGAATTCAGTGTCCTGATCCCACTGATGTTAGCTTAGAGTAGCTAAAGATGAGATCCCACTGTGTGAATCCACTTTGGATCCCACACAACGCATGATACGTAACAGAGGACATGAGAAGCACACCAGCCCCAGGGTACTCCCTGCATTCAGAACATCATCCTCTGCTTTCAGCCAGCCATGAACACTGCCATGCCCAGAGCTATGTGAGTGTGTAACCCCCAAGCCACACCAGCCTCCCTGGTGCCTCCCAGGAGCCACTTCCCTTTGCTTTCTGTATGAAAGGGTCATTGGATACAGCATCAAGCTCGCCTCCAGCTGCACTGCACTGCCCCAAAACCCGCTGTAACTGCAGATGGCAGACCTTGCCCCCTCTTTTCTTCACATTGCCATTGGAGAGGGCGATGAAGCACTGAGAAAGTTACTGCACTTCAGGGCCAAGTCTCACACCATCTCATGTTTCCAGTGATTTTCAAACTGATGTGGCACCTAGCATTTGTGTTCCATGATGATGGCTGTTTCTGGCCAGTGGTTGTCAAGCAGCGAGGGGATTCAACCCCAGGACAATCCCAGGGGATCACCCTCCACCCAGCTGCAGGCTGGCCTGAGATGAATCAGTATTTTCCAGAGACAGGAGATCATGGGTTTGCCCATCAAGGCAGCCCCTCAGCTCCTGCTTCCTGTTTTGGCACACATTGTTTTGGGAGTGTTTTTTTTCCCTGCTACCATGGTCTTTTTGGGGAGACTCCCATAGAGAAAAGCACCAGTCCCGGCAGGCAGGATGCCTACTAAAAGGCACAGGGCAGGAGAAGCATCAGCTCTCCAGCCCCATGCCCACTCAGCCAGGCAGTCCTTCCAGTACAATCGCTGCTCCCAGACCATGTCTGCTGCCGGGGCATGCCCCCACACTGGGGCTGCATAGCCTCCTGTGCAGCCACACAAGCCTTGAGTGTGGGCAGCAGCAGCACCATGAAAGCTTATGGTTCACAGTCAGCTTTAAGTCTATGGGCCCTTTTTTCTGCATTTTGCATTAGACCACAGCTATGAGCTATAAACCAAAAATTGTCCTAGGCATAGTAGCCAGGCACTGAGACCTGCTGCCTGCCCCACTCCTGCCCCAGAACATATTCCCAGGAGAGGAGAGAAGAGGTAAGGTTTGCAGGACCACAGTATTTTTGCTGCTGCAGTCCAGATCTCACCCAGGTGGGTGCAGAAGGTGTTCCACACTGAGGCTATCTAAGCAAGGCACAGCACAGCCCTGGGAGCCTTCACAGACCCTCTGCAATGGCCCCAATAGTCATTGCTGTCACCCAGACACCCCCTGGCAGTCATTAGTCATATCCTGCCATGCAGCACACACGCTTCCCCAGTATAATGGTCTCACCACAGCTCCACAGCCAGGGGTGCAGATGCCTACAAAATCAGGGACAGAAGTCAGGAAGACAAATGTTCCTTCTGCAAGTGGAAACCAGAGGTTCAGCATCTTTGAGGTGAGCAAGGAGGCCTGTATCTCCCTAGGCAGAGACTCAACTCGCTACACTGAATGTGTTTGATGATACTGGTGTCTCCTGGGAGCACTGCGCTGCGGAAGGCACTTCACCTTGGGCACGATATGGGTCCCCAATACAGACACTGAAGGCTGTGCTTTCAGGCACACACCTCACCTCTGCCAGCCAGTAGCAATTCCCCGATCAGGGAGTAGAGCTCTTGGAGGCAGCTGCTCCCTCCCTCCCTAACGGTGGGTTTCCAAGGCTGCAGTGGCACACATGGCGCATACAACCCCTCGGGGCAGTGAGGCCAGGGTACCCCATCCACCATGCCCTCAGCACACCACGCTGCGGCTCAGATACCCGCAGGGACCCGGCGCCACGCCGGGGCCAGCCGCCCCCCTCGCCGTAACTCTTCCCCGTCGGAGGGGATTTCTCGCTCCCGTCTGGCTCTCGCCGCTCTCGGAGGGGAGGTGCACCGGAGTGACCCGTACACCGGGTCTCCGATCTCCGCCTCCGAGCCCTCCCTTATAGGGGCCGCCCGGGACTGCCGGCGCAGACGCCGCGCAGACGCCCCGTGCCCGCCGCCCGCCCGGGAGCCGCAGCACAGTAAGTCCGTAGCGCCGCTTGTCCGTGCTGCGGGGCTCGGCGCTTTCCCCTTCCCCTTAGCGCTGGAGTCTGTCCCGGTTCTCCCGCGCCTCTGCCGCCCTCCCAGCTCGCTTGTCGCAAGGCTTGTTGAAGGTTCTCTGTTGTCTCCGAGGGAGGGGACAGGTCGGTGGTAGGTGTTTAAGGGGTGCATTCATGGACAAAGTGACGGATTTCAGACCCACTTCGTAATAATCAGAATAGAGACTAAATGAAACTGCTGCAAGAAGGATCGCAGCTCCAGAGACATCCCGGGGCTGGGGACTGCTAGGATATTTGTCTGCGTTGTGATGGCTGGGTCGGATTTCTGTTGCTCATCCCCCAGATTTCAGGGCATAAAACACAGGCTGTGAGCAGTGATTCCTGTTACCGCCATCCTCTTCCCCAAAATCCCGACATAGGATCACCAAAGCATCCTAAACCCAGATCAGGCACTGGGATCTAGATTCAGCGTGGCACTTCCTGCCCCCTCCTCTTTGTCTCTGTTCAAGAAGGCAGTGTTTTTCTTCCCAGATAGCAGGAAAACAATTGGATTATGTTCACTCAGCATGATTGCACCAGAAAACACACCATTTAAGTGCTTGGACCCTGTATGGCCCCAGGCAGACCCTGTGCCCTGCATCCTGCCAGGGTCAATGTGTTGAGCTGGCACAGTTCTGCATTGCCATATTTGCCACGTTGTGACTTCTTTTTTTTTGCCAAGTCAGGGAAGCCCCACTGCCTCTAGGACCTGCCTTTTCCCAGAGCACTAAAGAGCCCGTTGAAATTCCCTCCTATCCTTTGGCAGCCACCCCACATCCACTGCACCAACTCCTCAGGCACAAGTTGAAAAGTTCAACCTCAGGTTAGGATCCTTGGTGTGTTTGAAGTACGATTTCTTCTTGAGGCTGCTGCAAAGTAAGGAAGGAACTTACTATGACTGGAGCATGTTGCTCCTCTAGAAGCCACGGTGCCTCACCAACACACCCAAGTTCAGAGCAGAAAACCTGAAGGAACAGTCATTCTCCAAAGCGTTCAATTGCTTGCCCCTGCTGAGGGACTTCGAGGCTTGCCAGTTCCTAAAAAGCCAATCAAACTGGAGCAGAGAGCTCAGAAAAATCAGGTCTGGGCTTGCTTCTGTCACCCTCTCTGGAAGGAGAGGCCTGGAAAGCCAAAGAGTCTGAAGATGCTGGCAGAGGCTTCCAGGGAGTTTGTGTATCTCCTCAGCCACTGTTAGCTCTAACACTGAACTTTGCAAACTCCAGGCCTGAATGCAGGATTTGGCTTATTTTGTTATGAAAACAAAATCCTAGACAGCCACAGCTGGGTTCTCATTTAGTAGCGGAAGTTTACAATAACATTGCTCGGATTTGAAGCAAGTAGAAAAATAAACATAATGAGCTGCATTTTCTCTGCTTTTCCCCAGTTACAATATATATATGTGTAACTTTCTGTTTTGCTGTTTGAAAACTTCTCTCTAACAACAGGAGACACTGGTTTACAAGACTGTTTCCAGTTATGGGAAGACAAATTCCCATTTAAAAACGACTGAGGCACCATGTAGCTGTATCTACTCTGTTCCCCTATCATGTAAGATGGTAACATGGTTTAATGCTGGTTTAAAGTGTCTCACACCAAGTGAGATGCCCTGGGGTCCTTTGCCTGGTCTACTACTGCCATTCCCGTAAGTCCCTTTGGTCCCCCATCATCCTCAGCCCCATGGGAGTCCCTGGCCCATGGATTGAATCCCCTAGGAAGGCTCTACTCCTGCCCTGACTTCTTTACTGGTGACACAGGTTTTGTTTCCCCTCAGCTTCTGACCCCATTAAGAGCGGAACTTGGTCACCATCAGGATGGTGCTGGACTACGCAGGGTTGTGGGTGTCCATAAGGGTATGTGGACAGGACCCTGGACTTGACCAGCACAGTAAAATTTCAAGGTGAGGGTGTTGGTGGAGCTTGTCTATGGAATGTGATTTCTCAGGCAGAGCCAAGTGGGAGCCTCTGTATTCACAGTATCTCCTTTCAGTACCCAAACCAGCTGATGAAAATTCACAGGAAAAACACAGCTTGCAGAGATTGGTGATGGCATCTCCATAGAGATTGCTTTGATTAGGAGATTTTTTTTAGGTGTCCGAGCTTAGTCCAAAGTACACTAAACTCAGACTTGCCGCACTGCTTTACTGCCTGCAAAGACGGTTTGACCTGGTGTGATTTTCTTATGTGGGCAGGAGTAACCCCATTTCCACAGGAAAGGGGGGGAGAAAAGGCTGATGCAGAGATGAACTTAGCCAAATAACTCTGGATACCTGCGAGTGTGTGGGAGAGTGGGGGATTTCCACTAAAATGAGACATAAATCCTTGTGATGTGGTATGTCAGCAGGCTGGAGAGGACAAGAATCCAAACAAATGATTATTAATGCTGGCAGCAGCTCAGGAAAAAGCTCAGCAAAACATTTAAGAACAGGGGTAATCAGTAAATCTCTTCCCCTGAGTGCTCTCTGTCACTGTATGAGCCACCTCTTGCAAATGAGCTCATCCCGTAAGTGTGCGGCATGAAAGATGTTTCCTTTGAGGAGGAAAAGGAGAAAAGGGAAGCAGCTGTGGCCAGAGTCTAGGTTGTGTCCTGCAACGTGGCTCTGCTCCAGGGATTTCCCTCACCCTTGCAGTCCACCCTGGAAAAAACTCCATCCCGGGGATACGCACTGTGGTCAGCACCGTGCGGAGAGCTTGCTGCATCCCTCTCCAGACACACCATCAGTCAGCAGCACTGCTGTCTAAATGGTACAGAGCTCTGGATAGATGCTATGCATGCTGTGCTCCTCTTCTGGTTGGAAACCACAATCTGAATATACTACGTCAAATATAATTTGAGCTAAAGATTCCCCTGGCATAGACTATAGTGCCACATAATAATGAGTATGATGATGATAACAGTAATTAACAGCAAGTTAGTAATAATAGTGAGTTGGGATCTATGTCAAGTCTTGACCTTAAACCACTGGATTTCCCAAGATTTGAGCTTGAGTTGTGTGCCTGAGAAATTCTTTGGCATTTCCCAAAGTGTTAACTGATAAAACAATTAGGAACCTGCTGAAGTTTCAACAAGCTTTGATGTGTGAGCAGAGCACAGGTATACAGGAGCAGTCTGTGGCCGTGCAAGCCGAAGCCAAGCTCCTGGTGTGTCCCATCTGCTGCAGCAGGCTGGAGCAGGTGCTGATGGGGGCACAAGGAGCAGTGCTGGCACACCATCTCCTGCCTGTGGCCTCCAGCCATAACCAGTGCCACTTCCTTTTAGCTGAGTGTTTCTTGGAGAAAGTGGGGAGGTTTTGTTAAGAAAGCTTCTTATAGGCAGTTTCTATTAGGCGTTTCTTACAGTAAGTGCTTGGCCATCTAATGATAAAGAGAAGAGACGGAGGCAGAGTTTTTGGTACTACTTGCCGGAAGGGACAGAGGCTGCATTTCAAGGCAGAGCTGGGGTTTGCTGGTATTTCCTGTTGCAGATACTTCCTGATGTAGATACAAACATATAGAAACCAGCAGTGGCACACCCATAAATGCTGGGCAAGTGTTCAAGCTGGCCAAATGTGAGTGAGCATGGCCACTGCACCAATGGCAGATACTGCATTGACAGCCTTACTCAGATGCTTAATTCCTTCAGTGTTTATTAGCTCGAGATAAAAATCACACCCTGACACACCAAAATTGCCAACAGTTCCTATGCTGTTCATCTGGACAAAGTTCTGCCAGCCATTAAAAACTAGATTTCTAACCAACTTAATCATTCCCATACGGACTATTTTATTTGTAATGTCATTTCAATGGTTTTCAAATATACATGATATTCATCTTTGTATTGAAGAAGAAACAAAACCATTCTGAAATTCACCTTTCTGATCATCATTCTTCAAAACAAAAAACTCTGGAAGTTGTCTTTGGATATAAGAAAGGGAGAGGTACTTTCTTTGATGAGAGAAAAAGAAAGAACAACAAATGCTTTGTTTGGAATAATAGGAGAGAGAGAAAGGACTCAGCTGAGTCTGTGCCTGAACAAGCAGGAAGGAAGGGATTTGGCAGAATGAATCTAAACACACCATCATACTGTGAAATACAAACAAGGAAAATAGTCCTCCAAAAATTAGGGAAGTCCCAAACACTTAGAGCGCATCTCTGTTGCTATGGTATTTTTTGTAATGGAAATGTAACAAAAAGAATCTCTTTTCCACCATTTTTAGGATTATAGTGGGGCATCCTGACTAGAATAGCTGGCGTGAAACGTGGTGTTTCATCTCTCCTTTCCTCCCTCTCCAGTAAGTGTGCTACGGGAAGGAGCATAGCTTCAGCCCTGGCTCAGTGCCACTGGGCAGCTCTGGTGCCCGGCCCCCCTTTGCTCACCCACATCACCGGCCCCACAGCCCTGGAGCACAGCGCTCTGACAGCCACCACTGTCACACTCAGCCACGGGAGCACCTTAGGTTTAGCTTCACACTTTGCCCCAGATCACGTATTTAGCTGAGAGCCAGCCCGGTCGTACACACACCCACACCCGTCCTTCTCCTGCCTAAATGAGTTTTAATCTTCACTGTGTTTTAAAAGCAGTAGCATTACTAATCCTGAGCATGACCTGGCAGCCAAAACAGAGAGAAGGAAAGCTTTCAGCAGTGCCAGGCTCTAACTGCTCTGTATACCACCCTGCTGCTACCACTAACTTGTTGCTTCAAAGGCCTCCAAGCTGCTAGGAGCCAGCAGGAGGAATTGCAATTAAAACAAAAAACCCACAGTCTTCGAACAAGTTTCCTCAGAAATAAGTATCAAAGTCTGTATCAGCATGATACGTAGCAACAGGGTAAACTTAACAAGGGTATTTGAAGATCACCACATTGTGGCCTGATAAGTGAAGTGAAATTCCTCCTTTATTCAAAACCTAATTCCTCTGCCTTATGCAGTGCAGGTAAGCCAAAACTTGCCTGAGAGTTCTTCGTACAAAAGTACACTGGTCTCCTAGAAAGTCAATTAAAAAAAGTGTTGTTAGAACAAGGATTGGAAACTATGAGTCCCTTTATTTATTTAAAATATTTATATAATTATTACGTAGATTAATATAATTATGCAAATAAATCTATAGCAATATATTAAATTCTATAAGTACCTGAAGAATTCTAAATACAAACTCCAACAATGTGTTTTTACAATAACAAATGGCCACCATTAATTATTTGTAGCACAGGAGCATTAGTGGTAGAGCAGGATTCTAGCAGGATAACATCTGTTTAAACAAGGCTAAACCACCCTGATCTTCATGCCTTTTTCTATTTCCCCGTCAGCCAGGCAAGGACTGCTCTGAACATACATGCAGCAGCCCTGGTCACTCGCATCAGTTTCATTTAGCAGCTCTGGGAAAAATCCAGTCTGGTTAGCACCTGCTTATCAGAACCTTCCCCCTCCTTTACCCCGTTGCACTAGCATTTCTTTCTGCCCAAGCCCCACATTTCAACATAAAGAGACGGGGAAATAATTGCTGCTGGGTATTTGAAAACACTCATCAAGTCACGCTGAAGTTGCCTTGTCTTGGAATGCCATAGTCACCCTGGGACCATTCTGAAAATGAGGTAATGTAGAATGTTAGTGGATTTGAAGGGTCTGAATATGTCCCTGAGCTTTTGTCTGCTGCTTTAGTGATGCGGAGAGCATGTAGAGCATTGAAGCTGGGATTTTGGGGCCTAAAGTGATAAGTCTCCTAATGCTCATATCAGGAGATACTGCTGTGCTTCCCACACTCCCATCCTTTCGACCACGTTGTTCACATCCCCAGTGTTTCTGAACTCTCAGTCACCTTCCCTGTGAGCTCTCCTCAATAAAGCTAAGAATTTTATTAGTGACTTAAATGGGGACATAGTTAAACCAGCAGGACTTTTGCTCAGCAAAGACTGATGCATAACTGGCTTGTCAGGCCCATCTCATATTCATGCTGTACTTGCAAACTCAGTGTGCAATAAGCTACATGGATGCTTCCAGAAACAGCTGCAGCCAGATGAGCAGAGACCAGCAAAAACAGGCCCTGAGGAAGGTGGGAATTGATCCCAATGCCATATAAAGCACATAAAGGGAGTTTTGTGGTTGCTTTGAATAGGCACAGGATGCTTGTCCCACCCTCCCACATCATTCATGTGCAGCATTCATGCTCATGTCTGTACTCCCACAGCATCCCATGAGAGAACCCTTCTCTCCTGTACCTGGACAATCTCAAGATCTCAAATCAGACCATCTGAGTCATCCTGAAAATCACTCACTGATTTGCTCTAAGTTATTTATTAGACCAGAGAGCTGCTTCTATCCTCTCAGTTACCCGAGGTGATGTTGCTCAGAGACTTTTCCTGCCGAGCTGTGCTCATATCAGATGTGTGTAGCACTGCCCACACATGGACACCTCATTCCAGAATTAATTTTATTAATGGGAATACACTTTGCCACATTGTGTCGTGGTATTTTTCATGCCAACTGTTATAACCTGACCAGTTCTTTCTGAAACTTACAGGCTAAAAGGAAAATGATGAAAATGTTACCTTTTTTCCAAGATGGTCCCATTGGAATGTGCAGTGGATCAGAGGGTTGCATTGGTGAAAACAATCAGCTTGAAAACCCTTCGACATCAGTAGCTAAGCAAATCCCTGCCTGTCCTGAACCTTCTGGAGACAACATCTGGTCCAGGGACCAGGAGAAGATGAGCGAAAAGCCAGAGGGAGCCTACAGATCCTCACGTGCATCTTCCATTGCGAGCAATGGGAGCTGCACCTCTGCTGGCGACAGTCCTGAAAAGGGGAAGAAAGGAATAAAGGAAATCTTTACAAATGCATTTAAGAAAATTAAAAAGATCAAGACACCCAGTGGTAAGTGCTCCTTAATCTTCCTTACACCACCTCATAGGCCATAGTTCCTTCTACAGGGACTGCACAAGGTGGAAAATTGTCCTCTTGAGAAACAAGGGGACCAACAGATTGAAGTGACTTGCCAAGGAGCCTTGGGAAACATGGGCTGAGGGAGACCTCAGGTCCTAAGTTTTTGCTACCAAGGGCATACTCCCTGAGGAACTGCCAGTTTGTGTGGTTTCTGTCCAAAACAGAACTTAGTTCTACTTCTCATGGTGACACAGAGATCTGTGGGTGGGCAAGAAACCAAAACACAGCTCTCTGTTCTGTTCCTCCATGAAACCACCACCCCGTGAAATCTCCTTTTTCCCCAAGGCAGCAGTGAGTGGTGTGCGCAGGTCTTTCTCAGGGCTGATACATGAACATACAGTTCCTCCAGTCACAATACCTGCTCAGAGAAACCCAGAACTGCAGAGGAAAGTGCCCCTTGGCACTTCCAAGGCTCACCTACCATCTCAGATGACATATGTCATTACCTGGTTCATAAACTTCATGAGCTGTACCTTGAATTTGCTCAACTAAAGAAACAAGTCTACTGAAAACAGGCTCTTTGTGCCTTTCTTCTTACTGCTACACTGCCCTATTCCCAATGTCTTTTTTGAAATAAAGCAACCAGAATTGCAGAAAATGTTCCAGATGAGATACCGCCACTGCCTGGTACAATATGTTACCGTTTTCCTGTCTCAGCTGGTTGTTCTTCACTGTACACATCCTGGGGTCATATATAACATTTTCACCATCATCTCTCAATAATGATTTACTAATTCTCCAGGCATGTCTCTTCTTCCTCCATCTCAAGATGATTCACATCCAGCTTGCAGCAAAAATCCTATTTGTTGCCAAGTACCTTTTGTTCTATTGACTTTGTGTCTTATACTTTGTGCTATTAAATTTCAGCCCATTTCCTATTCAAGTTATCTTGCTGTTACTGTATAATGCAGGAACTGTATAATACTAAGCCCTCAGTTTCGATGATGTCTCTGAACTTTGTGTAATTAACAGATGCAAGTAGGGCACTCCCAGCTTTTGTGCCACAGTCTCTGAGGAGAATATGAAGTAAGATGAGTTTCATGAATAATATAAGCTTTCTCCACCCAGAGTTTTTCATAAAAGCCTTACACACCCAACAAAACTTATTTTGGGATATAACTTCTCCAGTTTAACTAATAACTTCTCAGATTGCCCGGTATTGAGAGACTGCAGCTCAAATAAGACAGTTCAATTGTATTTATATCGTGCTAAATGCATCCATCAAAAACATTTCGCAGGTCAGATTGTGCCAGCCTATTTCTGGAAAACCCATGTGATATTTCCTCTAGCACATCTCATTTAGCTACATCTTGCCATCTACGTTTTTTCTAAAGCCATGTTTCCGACTGGAGATCATATTAATGGGAAAGTTGATAACAAATAAATAAATAAATAGAACTTCACAAATCTAAATTTTGGGAACAGTTATAGGTAGCTCATGAATAGCTGTCCATATGTAACACAGTAGTGATGGGTATTCAAATTTCCATTGCCCCAGTTAGAGGCAATCTAGAAAAAAACTCATCTTTAAATAACCAGAAAGGTTTTCTATCTGGTAAAGGAGCCTAAGATCCAGTGTTAGAGAAATATAATAATTTAAAAAAAAAAACCAAACATTCCAGAGCCATAGTTGTTTGTAAAGCAGAAATGTAAACCTTCACTACTGGGTAAAGAAAGGCTGTTCTTTTTTCACCAGTCAAAAAAATCATGGATCTCCTCGAAGAGCAGAAGTTTTGCGAAGCCACTCAGCATCTGATTGTGCTGCAGAAGAGCCTGTCCAGCAAAAGTGAGGAGGGACTGAGCACCAGCCAGCAAGATGTCGAGTCCATCTACGAAGTTCTGAATTATAAAGTCTTCAGCATCTTGAAAGACTCCATACTGCTAGCAAAAACAAACCCAGAACTGCTGCAGCAGGCAGTAGAGGCACTGAAAGAGCAGGAGAAAGAAGATCAGAACTACACATCAGAGAATCCACCTGACCAAAACATGCCATTTAGACCTAGAAAATGGAAAGAGCTTTGGATGGCTGCAGTAAAGGAGTCAGTAGAGACTCGAATGAAAGACACAAGCCGTACTCCTAGAACTGAGAACCTCTCTGCAGTTGGCCAGAATCTCCTGCATATGGGAAAGACAATGAAAGAAGATTTGATAGTGGTTGTGAAGTACATAAAACAGCTTTATCCTCCTGAGTTTAATGTGTTCAGCATATATGCAGAACTCTACCACAATTATTTTGCCTCCCAGACAAAAAAAAGTGCGGAATCTCATCTGGAAGACAAGGACGTTTATCTTCTCCTGTCATGGGTGCACAATTTTTATCCAAAGTAAGTAAAGCTTTTACACATTCTTATCCTTGGTGATCAATGCAGGTTCGCTGGCTGCAAAACCAGGCATTTTCTTGATTTATGAATTGGTATCACTGCAATGCAATCTGGCACCTGGCTAGATTTTAGTGCTGTTGTGCTGATGTACAGTAGCTGGCCAGGACAGCCAGAAGGGACACACTCAAGGCTGCTAGCCTGTAAACTAAGGGCCGATCTCACCAGTCGGGCCTCTGGGCAACAGACAGACACAGATGTTTAGGGCTTCATTTGTTGGGTAAATTGAGCAGGTTTGCTGCCCTGAGCTCCATTTCTGCTGAAGTCATTCTTGGAAAAATTGAAAATTTCAGCCCTCTGGACCAGAGGACAGCCAATAAATCGAACAACCTGAGATCCAGTTATCCTGGGCATGGAGGATGTTGCTTAAATGTTACCTACTGTTTATGCTCTCCTCCTGGTTAGGAGACCAAAGAGTGTACCCCTGTAAGAGGACGTCTTCAGCCAAGGGTCGCCCTTCATCCTCACAATCCCTGTCAGCTATCAAACTGAAAATATTCCTTGTTGTGGCTTATAGTACTGGATGGAGAATTGAGAGCTCTCATTCTTAGGTGACAAACAGTAAATACACCAGCAATGTTTCTTCTGCTGTTCTAAAGCCATTCAACCTTCACCTCCACTTTTCTTCTTGTGTTTCACTGGTGGAATATAATGAGTCAGTGTTGATCCTGGAAGCCTTCCAGAGCCAGTAGTGTGCTCTAGGTCAAGATACTCAGGCCTGAACCAGTGTGTGTTTGGAAATCAGTGACAGTGAGGAGCAGGGCTGAGCCTGAACAGCACAGCCCAGTGCTGGGGACAGTGGTGGCCTGGGCAGCAGCTGCCTTGCATGGTCTTCCCAGAGGTATCTGCTGAGAGACCACCTCTCTCCACAGCCAGCTTGCTTCAGGTCCCCCATCCCCACCAGTACACAGCAGCTGGTGCTCAGGAGCTGGGCAGAACACGACTGTTACCCAGGGCTGCTCAGGGTCCCACCCACAGCACAGATTCTGCTCCTCTGAGTTCTGCCTGGGCTAAGGACAGTGTACATTTCTATCTTTTTTTTTCACTGATGGACTCGAAAAGTGTTAGTAATTTGCATCAACAGCTGTCTTGGATTACACTGCCCTTGGAAAATGCAATTGTTTGGCTTTTTCATTTCAGAGATATGAGAAAAGATCATGTTTTAGCCAAGGAGTTGGAAAAAGTTCAGCTTGGAAGCCTCTTACCATCAAGTCTGAGCAAAGAGCTTGAAAAGAAATACCTTGACAGAGAAGAGGTGAGAATCTGTTCAGTCCCTCCTCTTCCCATAGCTGCTCCCATGAGACTCCTCAGACGAGTTCCGACTTGTCCTGCACGTACACTCCTCACCTGTGGGCCATACACTCTTCCAAAGAGAAGAAGGAAAAGCAAGAATGCTTTTGTTTCTTTTGGGGGGTCAGGTCAGCTTTCTGCTAGATGGGACTTGCAGAGCAAACTTCTGCTTTGCCCTGGCAGCCATCAGAAAAAAACTGCTCTGTTCTTGCAAACTTTGTGGTAGGAAACTAGGGGGGAAATACAAATCTTTGTGGGTAACTTTCCCATTGTCTGTTAAATTCCCAGAGGGATTTATGCTCCCTCTTGCAGCTGATGAATTCAGGATTCAGCTGATAAATGCAGGTCTGGTGTTGAAAAATCTGTTTCTTTGATGGAGGGTGGCCTGGTCTGCAGAAAATAAGAGTTGCTTTGCTTTTTGGATCACTCTTGCATTAATGGAAACAAGAAGCAGCTATCACGGTATTCCCATAGCTTAGTGCTTTTGTAGTTTTGGGCTGGAATTCCCAGAAAATCAAAAGATAAGTTCCAGGTTTAGCTGTAGCCAGTGATGGTTTGCATATGGGAGAGATGGGTGTGAGGGCTGCAAAGCATGTGAACAAACTTGGAGATCAGAAATGTAGACCAGCCGCCATACATATCATTTCCAAAGCCATGCTGTGTACACACAAGAGGGATCAGAGCGAGAAAATCTGAGAACGTTTTGTTTCACTCTCCAGCACTCACAAGATGTCAGAATTGCTCATGAAAAAGCATTGCAAAACCAGGTCTGCAGATAGCACTGAGTGTGACACACAGGCAATGCATGGCTGGGGGAATTTGGGCTCTGGCACGCATACCGGCCTGCAACCTTCCAACCCACAGCTCCCTTCCCCTGCGCTCCAGATCACCACTGATGTGGCAGGCAGGGGTGTACATCTTCATCTGCATTTCTACCCTGAAATACTCAAATCACTGTCGCATAGGTGGGTATTGTGAGGGAGTTGTCCTTGCTGACATGAAGTGGTCAGTAAGGCGTCTTGCAACAAGGAGCCTGTATTTCTCATCCAGGATTGAGAAAAAAGTATGCTCAGCCAGACAAATAGTGGGTGGGTAGGTAAAACCTGCATAAGGCAGGAGCTGCTACATCTACTTTGTGGTAAACGCTGTTGTTCTTCCTTCCCTAAAGGCTACTATCAAAAATTTGCTGAGCAGATGTTTAGATAAAGAAATCCAAAGGTGGAAAGAAGAAGAAGAACCAGAGAAATTTAATGGGCATTTTCAGAGTGAACTACTAGGAATATTTGTCATCCAGGTAATACAGATATATATTAGAAATAAATAGTTTCATCCTGCACCTATTTATGATTTGAGAACAGCCATGATCAGTGCAAGAAAGCCAAAGGCCAAGTCACATGTGTAGGGCAGTAGTAGAGGTGGGTGGTACAGGGCAGCCCAAGCCCATGGTCTGGCATGATCCTGGTCCACCACATGCTGGAGACAAACTCCTGTATAAGCAAAATGAGCAGGAGATCTGCCTTCATTTTTTCCTGTGCAGTCTCTTTGCACCACCAGATGATGCCAAGCCATCAGACACTGGGCAATGTAGCAGCAGAGAAACAAGAGCCAGCTTTAGCCGAGCGAGGAAGTAGCACGATGCTGTTGCCCTGCTTGCTCCCACTGCCACTGGCAGAGCTGCTCTGAGTGCTCATGCCCTTTCCCCACACCCAGCACTCTCCTCTGGCTGCAGAAGATTAGTAGAGTTATTTTTTTTTAAATAAACATTTAATATTTTGAGGTGGTTGTGCTTAAATTGGTTTTTTAATGCAATGATACGACATTTGTTAAAAAAAAAAAGGCAAAACCCCCAAGTGTCACTTTCCCCACTTCCTTGGCTACTTTATAGACTTTCTTTAACGCATCTTTCTTCTTCACCTCTCTCCCAATCTTAAAATAGGGTTCAAAATTGGCTTGAGCTAACCAAGTAAGTATAGAAGTATAGCTGCTCTGCACGGTCGTTGGCTCAGTTGCAGGGGGTGCAGGAGAGCTGGGTGCAGTTACCGCAGTTAAGGATCTATGCCTTTTCAATCAGTGAACCTGGCCTTTTTGGAGCAGACAGCATTTAAAATTGATCTCTTTTCTTTGTTAGAGTATCTACAGTGGCCAGAAGCGAGCTAAGGACATCAACGCAGCAGTGGGAGAGGAGCTGTCACATCGCCTGTGGAAGGAGCTGCCTGCCTTCCTGAAAAGGTGCAGTAAGGCAGCGTAGGGCGGCAGGGCTGGCAGAGCCACCAAGGGCATTTGCTCATCTGCTTCTTCCCTTTCCATCTCCCCTCCAGCTACAAGGATGCTTTTGAAGATTTTAAGGAGAAAAGCAAGAAGCACAGATACTACAAGCCTATACTGATTGCAAGTGTTAACAACTGCTGGAATTTTAGGTAAGGATCCAAAACGAAAGGCTTTCCTCCTTCCTCCTTATTCTCCTATTCAACAGATAGTGTGATAGAGGTGAGGTACTCCAGGGCGGGCAGAGGAACATCTGTCTGCCTTCAGAGGAAGGTTTGGATACCTCTGAATTTCTCTCTCTCTCTCTTTTGAGGACAGATTATTCTGACCTTGCTGATATTTTCTTCCAGAGACTACACGGAGAAAAACGTGTCAGAAAAGGATGACAGTAGAGCCAATATCCTCAGCACGCTCAGTGACATTGAAAACAGTGGCTTTGACGTGCTGCTTCAGCAGCTGTTTGTCCAGCTGAAGGTACCTTATCCATGCCCCATACCCTTCTGCCCCATGGCTCAGCCTGTGCTAGTTTTAGGCATATTCTTCTGCTGTGCTATCAGTTGACCCAATCTCTGATTCAAATGCAGAAAAGTTCGGAAGGGCTCAGGGCCAGATCACCTCTCAGCATCAGTCCTAACTCACATTGCTGCTAGAAAACTCAGACTCACTTCTTCTTGAGCTGGTCCTCAAGCCTGCAGGCAAAACAAGCACAGCTACATAGAGGTGACAGTACAGACCAACATAAAACATGCTGATCATGTCTAAGATAAGTGCTGCAGGAGAGAGAGTCTCAACCTGCATGTGTTTACATTCCAATCTGTCAGAAGCAATCACAAATGACATGAACTGCAATTATGCAGCTTTGGGCTTCTTCATAAAGGTAGCCTGAAAGGCAGTTCTGGTTTCTTTCTTTTTTAAAGAAAAAAAAATTATTTCTTTTTGCTTTTCTGTTTTTTTTTATATATAACACAAGCTTTTTTAGTTAAGCAAGTGTGGTGGAGGGGAAGGCGTAGGAGTTAGGAATGTTCAGCCACAATCTCTCCTGCTTTTTCTGTAGGGCCTTTTGGAAGGCATGACAAAGTAGTGGTGCTTTTTTTATCATTTTCATATTTATTTACTGTGCCCAAGAAAAATTGTGATTGAAAACACCTCATAATGATTCTTTCTTTTTTTTTTTTCCCCCTGATGGTTACATAAGTCTCTAATCAGGCAAGATAGCGTGCACGAAACATGGAAAATGTGGGGGAAAAACGAAGCATCTTCAATATGAGCCTTTCAAGCTCTCAGTCATTTTCATCATGAGGAACAAAGAAAGAGGCACAAACCCAACACAGCCCTCTTTTCCCCTGCCCCCATAGGTCATCGTCACCACATCCCTGCACAGGACTGCACACTGAACTGTCACTGTGTAGGATATTGTACATATAGAAATGTTAAATATGCATAGAATTTGCTTTGAGGGAACTAAGCAGATTTTCCTCTTTTCAGCCAATTTATAAGAAGTTTACAGAAAATAAGTGGGACTCCAGCAATGAAATTATGAATGAGATCATTAAAACCACCAGCAAACATATTTCAGACTTCAAGACCCTAAAGGACCCTTTCTACCACGTAAGTCCAAGAGAAATATTGGAGGGATTCTGGGGTGCTGAGGCTGCGTATTCAGCTCTGATCCTCTGGGACTCGAGTTGCCTTGACCTACATTAGCTGATGAACTGGCCTGGCATCAGAGAGCCCTCTCAGAGAAGTTTCTCATCTGCATGAAGTTTATCTATTTATGAAGATTAGCCATATAAATATTACTCTTCAACAGAGGCAGACTCCTATAGCTCTGCTGTGGTGTTTGCAGAGAAACCCACCCCTGCTGTAGAGAAAGTGCTTTAGGGACCACTCAAAATACAGCTTTATTTATGTGTGGGTTTGGTTATCCATGTTGAAACACAGATGCAATTGCATGGTTCTGTCTCATGGCTCCTTTGATTGCCCTAAGGACTGGAGAAGATGGATACAACTGGGAAAAGTCCCACCTAACTGATTCACAACCACCTCTTCAATGATGCTGCAGTATATATGAAACATCACTATATAAAAAAAACTCGTTGATTTCCTGCCTTTGTCTTCTTAGTAGCTGAAACAAAATTACAATGTTTTGTGTGTTAGAAAAAGGAACAGGAGGAGCAGCATGAATTCCTGTTTCTCTGGTGTACTGTTATTTCTCCAGCACATGAAGATCTCTTCTATGCTTTAAACACTTCCCAGAAGGAAGCAAGATTCGGAAATTCCCACACTTCATTAGTTTGAGTACAAAGAAATTCTTGGCATCTAGGATGTTGCATACCAGTAATGGGGAGGTTGGCAACCAGCATGATTCCATGATTAGCAGCAGGCATTTTTGTGGGGCAAGTCTTACAGCACCCAAACCATTTCTGTCCTCTATCCACACTGTTTTCCACAAGCAAAAGTGGATGGATGATCCCCGTTCTCCTTCCCAACAGGCTATCATCGAGAAGGTCCATGCCCACTTGGTTAAAGCATACATTGTGAGGCTGCTGAAGAGGAAAGTCAGCCTGAAAGGCACAGCACAACAGCAAAACTTGGCCCAACACATCTCCAAGAATGCTGCTGACCTGGAAGCCTTCTGCACCAGCAATGTACGTGAGTGTACTGTGAACACAATGGCATGGGGCATGATATACTGAAAAACAGGAAAACAAGTTTTCTGGGGCTTCTTGTTAACCTTTCCAAATCAGCTTAATTTCCTGGAAGGCAGAAAGAGGTGTCCAAGTGCCTGCCCGCAGGAAGGGTCCCCTGCCACCAGCCTGCCCCTCCCCAGATGGAGAGCCGTGATTTCATCCTCCTTTGTCCCATAGGCAGTGGTTTCCTTTCAAAGGTTTATATTATAACATGGTCAGATGATTTAGCTAATCTCTGGTTTCAGTGCAGCTTGCATGGGGTCTGGGTTTTGACTCTTCACCCTCACCCTTTATATTCCTTGTTCTACTGCTTTTAGGTCTGGCAGGGGCTGGAACAGACCCTAGGAAACAGCTTCAGAAGCCAGCTCCTGGGCTGGGTGGAAGTTTGTACTTCTGCGGTGCCCTACTGACCTCTTTCTCTTCTGGCAGGGCTCTCAAGCCACGTGGCTGAATTCAGCACTCCCCAGACTGGCTGAAATAATCCGACTTCAGGATTTAGGTGCTATTAAAATTGAAGTTGCGACACTCGCCAGCACGTACCCAGATATCCGGTAAGAGACAGTGAAACAGATTTGCGAGCACACTGATGGAATTTTAGTTGAGCTGGGAAACAATGGAATACAAGTATAGGTGAGGTTCATATAGCCTGAGTCTATAAAAATGGGTGGGGGCTGTCTGCCAGGCTGTGGCAATCCCAGTGCCATCGGACAACAAAATAATCCCTTTTAAAAAGCCGATTTTAATAGTCCAGATTCTGCCCTGATTTTGTGCTTTGCCTTGGAGATTCCCTACCCTACCCCAAACCTCCCTGGACAGTGCTGTGTCCCATGTAGGACTGCCAGATGCTGAGATGGCATCCATCAGACACCTTAGCACCCACTGTGGGGTGGGGTGGGGGCCACATCCTGGTGCAAGGGTCCCATCATGCAGAGATCTGCAGGATGAGATAACACCTGCCTGTTTCTCTTCCACAGCAAAAGGCACCTGGAAGCATTCCTGTACATCAAAGCCAACTTGTCTCGCAGTGAACTCAAAAGCATCCTGGGCTACTTGGCAGACAGCACGGCATCCCTGCTGCCCAAGGCCCCCCTCTTCTCCGACATAAACGTGTCCTAGACCAAGGCACTCCTTGGCACCCCTTGTGCTGGACTGTTGGCTGAGCCAGGGATGGAGACTGTCCCCTGGGGTGATGCACAGGGCACACTGCCACCTTTTCCTACGGAAAGTGCCATGTCCTTATCTGCTGCTCAGCACTTGCATGGGAATCACTGTCCCCATGCGGGGCCCAGAAGAGGATGCACCTGCAGGAGGAGCAGTGCCCACAAGAAGCAGGGCTGCCCCTTGCACCAGTCATGGACTCCACCAAGGACTCCCTGGTGCAACCATGTTCTCTGTCTGGACACTGCTCTGGTGCTCTGACCTCTGTCTACCTCACAGGGTCTGTGAAGGCCATGTTGCTGGCTCCTCAGCTAACCCAGACCAAGCAGGCACCTCCTATGTAGCTTTTTATATTTGAAGGGAACAGAGGGAAACAGAAGCCAAATTTAGAGATGTTGGAGAAGTCCCATGTGAACATGCCTGTACCCCATCTGCCTTCCTCTGAGCTGGGCAAGGGCTGCTGCATTAGGGTGATGTCCCATCAGGAACCAGGTTTCAGGTCAGGAGGAGCTGTTGCTCAGCCACAGCAGGACTCCTGCTGTCCCATTGTGCTGTAGGACCCCAGACCTCCAGACCTGTGGTTTGGAGTGGCCCCAGCTGCACACTCTGCCCCACTGTACAGGGGCACTGGAGTTTCCAAGCTGAAGTATGTTTGCTTCACCTTTGTGAGGTGGGAGACCCCGACCCCCTGGCAGCCACCAGCCCCTCTGTAGTGACCCCATCCACTACATCTGTACTGGAGTGATTCCTTACTAGCAGATGATTGGGAGCAAGCTGCCTATTACAATGGATCATGTGGGCTTAGCCCCAGCATCTAGTAAAGCACTTTGGAATACTACTACTTAAGCCCTCCTTATCAAGGAGAGGACTTTCCCAGACCCTGTGAATATCATAGGCTTTGAATGGGTAGAGAACTGGTCTCAAATGCCATTAAAATGTACTCAGCATCCCGTATGCATCACTGTTTCCCTGCTCACTCTTTCCCATCGTGCTGTGAGGTAGATATGATGTGAAAACGCAAGTGGGTCTGTTGTGAAACTGTTTTGTTTTCACAGCACAGTTTTCTGGGAGGTGAATCACTTGCCAAAACAACAATGTGTTTAGTTGATGACCTTTCCCTTCTGTTTTTCTCTATTTCAACTTCTGAAGCACTCTGTAAAAAGTTGGTCCGGAAGGAAGACATATAATGACTGTGCAAGCCATGTAATCTATTTATATGCATATGCAGTGTACCACTGGTGTATTTTTGCATCCAGTTTTATTTTTTCTCAAAGATACTCATTTGCAATATTTATATTTAAACAGTATTCAAATATGCTAGAAAAGTGACTCATTTGTTCTGTCTCTGGCTGTTGTTTCCTGCACTGCCATATGTAGTCCTATGTACTCCTTCAAAGGACCAATTCTCCCTCTACTCCCAGCCTGCTCTGGTGAATATCACCCACTGATTCCAAGTGTGAGGAGGGTTTTGCTGGGCCACAGACAAGCTGGAAAAGCAGAGGCACCCTCTGTGCTGTGTTGGGTCTCACAGCCTGGCTTTCCCCGCTACCTGGAGCAAGACTGCCATGTGCATAGTGCTTATGGTGCCTGGTACAACAAAGTCCAAACCTTCAGCCTCTAAGCACTACCGCAGTCTCAGTGGTGAATAATAAAAATGTATTTGACATGCATCTCATCCTTACTGCTCTGGCATCCCCTTTCCTCTGTCTCTGTTGTCTCATCCTGTTCATACAAGCCTTTAGGGGATGCAGACTGACAGAACTTGGCCCCAGCTGGTCTTCCTGGTCCCCTTTTATGCTCCTGGCAGTTGCTGATAACCCTGTGTTATTGCTGCTACCCCTGTGAGGTGGATGCTGAGCACTCCAGGCTGCTCACTGGCAGTGGCTGGTGGTGCACAACAGGAGAAGGAGTCCTCTGCTGACAGGTTATGTGGCAAAACTGTACTCTGGGTAAAAAACAGTGCTTTGCTTTCAGCCTGCTGCCTGGCCATGGGTACCACAGACACCATCTCCCCCCATTAGCACACTTAGGTTCACACAAAACTCATACGTACACATAATTTAAAAACTTATGCACACCATTTAAACACTTATCCCAGCTACAAGTTGAAGGCAATTGCCAAACTGAATTCAGACAGTACTGAGCATTCATGAAACTCTCACCTGTTGTGAAACATTTTCTTTCCCAATTAGTGAAAGGTCATTTTATTGCTATAAATAATCATGGTTTGATCTGTTAAAGGCCTACAGAAATGCATCATACAAGTGATTGCACTGGTCCTTAAATAAAAAAGATTCCAGCTATGTAAGTGCTCTAAGGAAAATAGTGTATCTATTTATATATCATAATTAGGACGGGTAGGAGAAAGTGGTTTTCATACAAATTTCATAAGCCATATGGAACTGCATTGTGCAATTCTCTTCATCCTGCTATAAACCCCAGCTTTCAGCTCTAACGAGCCCAGGAAACTGACTTATTTGTGTGACTCAACATTTACAAAGGCATTTATTTATATTTGACGTATTACACATAGACAGGTACTTTCAAAAGTTTGCACAACTCTCTTCTAATAACAGTGTGTCGTGGTTTCAGATGAGGTAGAATTAATCTTAGTCTCTTGTGCAGAGCTGTGCTTTGGATTCAGGATGAGAACAATGCTGATAAGACACTGATATTCCAGTTGTTGCTAGGTAGTGCTTACACTAAGTCAAGGACTTTTCATTTGCTCTGCCAGTTAGGAGGGGCATGGGAAGCTGGGAGGAAGCAGAGACAGGACACCTGACCCAAGCTAGCCAAAGGGGTATTCCATACCACAGCACGTCATGCCCACTGTATAAACTGAGGGGGTTGGCCAGGAGCCACCGATCGCTGCTCGGGTCAGGCTGGGTATCAGTCAGTGGAAGGTGAGCAGCTGTACTGTGCACCACTTGTGTTTATTGGGTTTTATCTCTCTCTCTGTTTTTCCTCCTATTATTATTGTTGTCATTATTATATTGTACTTTATTTCAATTATTAAACTGTTCTTATCTCAAACCATGGGTTTACTTTTTCTGATTCTCCCACATCCCGTGGCATGGGAAGAGTGAGCAAGAAGCTGCGAGGTACTTACTTGCCAGCTGTGGTTAAACCATGGCACAGTGTTAGATTAATACTGATAAATAGCGCTCCTATAAACTTACTATATCCAATTTCATGAGCTCACTGTGTCTGGATGTTCTTCACCTCTGCTGATGCTGATGTCTGCCTCTCCCCAGAAGCAGAGAAGGTAGGCAAGATGAAAAAATAAATTCAGCTTTATAAACAACTAACTAAGCTGGCCACAGTTGCTGTGGCGTTTCCAGCTCTTCCTCTTGCCTGCCATCAGTGCCAGCAGGACATCAGCCTGCAACAGCCACTGTACTGGACACAAACCTAGCTCTTGCATGCATGCACACATACTCCTGGCTTCATACCCACCCATCCCACCAGGCACTACCATCACTTGGCAGAATACTTGCAGTTTACAATGCAAAAGATGCAGGGACACAGACCACAGTGTATCAGAGAGTGGATTGAGGCTTTACTCGCCTCCTCAGCTCAGATGAGGGAGCCATCTGCTGCACACAAAGTCTCCAGAGACACCTGGGGAACCTCTGCCCTTGCTGCAGGGAAAGCCAAAACCAGCCAGATAGTTCCTGGGCTCCTCTGAGGTGTGAGCATGATTTTAAACAGCAGAAACCTTCTGATAGAGCCTGCTGAGAAGCTCTGGGGTCTGCAGACCCAGAAAAGAAGCATTAAGAAACCAGAGCGCCTGCAATTCCTCCTATTTGAGGCAGGATTTTCTCACCAGGATCCTCTGAGAGATGGCAGCACTGACTAAAGGCCACAGGATTTACTGATGTGCTGATGGTAAGGAAGACATACTAGACCAAAGCGCTTTGGCAACTGGGGCTTTCCAAATTCAGCCCACACCTCTGGGTGGATAGTCCTGGCTTCACTGACATACACAGTGACATGCACATGAGACAGGTGACACAGCCCCTCATCTACTAGTTAACGTAAAGCAGGAGGAGCATGTGCAAAGAGTGTGAGAGCAACGTGCCGATCTCCATTTGCAGATCTTGTGTTTAGTTTAGCTGCTATGAACTTTAATAGGAGAAAACCTGGAAACTCCAATCCAGTGAGAAGAGACCATGAGAGCAATGCGTGGAGCATTCCCAAAGGAAAGGTACACTTGCAGTGAGTAGGAATGGCAAAGCCCCGTCCCCTAGGGTAATTAGGGCACACAGGCTGCAGATCCTGCACCTCTCAGCCCAGTTTCACGTGCTGCCCCATCAGTTCCTCTGCTTTGCACATCTTGGGCCAAAAGCTGGGACTGGGGACCAAATGGGCAGGAGTCAGTATCACTGAGTGTTGAAAAGAGAGGGTATTTCGGGAACAAGCTAGAGGCCGATAAGCTTGGGTGTCACATGGGCAAAATCATGCTTTGCCTTGCCATACTATAGATTGAAACCCATAAGAATAATTACTGCCTTCCTGAATGACTTAAAAGAGGCTGCAGCCACTCACCCACACTCATATCCTGGAAATACAAAATAGCTCTTCTGTAGCCACAATAACAGAGATAGCAGCTAATGTGAGGGGATTTTGAGAAGTACTCATCAGTTCAGCAGCCTCACCTCCTGAGGGGAAATCCAGAGGAGATGTGATGGAGCAGATGCACACATTGGGCTGTTCAGGTGCACTGGAGGAAGGTTAATTGTGTCTTTTAAAGCAGTATGAAGGTTTTAAGTGACTGTGTGTCCTGGGTTCAGCAGTAGCAGTCATTTTTTTTTTTTTCCTTTGTGTTAGCTGGTGCAGTGCTGTGTTTTGACTTCCAGCCTGGGAACAGTGTTGGTGAAGCCGATGTTTTCAGTTGTTGCTAAGTGATGTTTACCCTGACCAAGGACTCTGTGAGGCTCATGCTCTGCCAGGGAGGAGGGGAAGCTGTGAGGAAGCAGAGATGGGGCGCCTGACCCGGGCTAGCCAGGGAGGTATTCCATACCACAGCACGTCATGCCCGGGGTGGGGGGTGACTGGGAGTTACCCGGACGGACAGGGGCTTCCGGGTGGAACTCGTTTTCTTGGCCGGTGGTATCGTATTCTCTTCCCTTGTTATTTTCCCTTATCATTGTTGATAGTAGCGGTGGTGATTTGTGTTGTACATTGGTTGCTGGACTGTTCTTGTCTCAACCCGTGGGAGTTGCATTTTTTTCGATCCTCCTCCCCGTTCCTCCGGGAGTGGGGGAGAACCCCGGTGGGGGGGGAACACGGACCTCGATTGTTGTCAGCTCGGCACCACTCACTGGGAGTGAGTGAACAAGTTACCTGACTGGGTTTAAACCACGACACTGT